TTCAAAATATGTCAGAAACAGTAAGATGTATATAAACAAACAATTCAAAAATGATTTCATATAAAAGGTGTTCTATTTAAAATAAATTGGTTACTTGTCCAAGAAATTACAAACACCCCGTATGTATGGTAATATAATATGTATTTCACTTTTGTCTTCAAGTATTTTGGATATTTTTAACAGATTATGAGACAAGATAAATCCTATAATAAACGGGCCACCCATTATACACAATGGATTCTTCTCGAATCTGTGTGTCCATATTTTAATCGGTTCATTTGGCACCGGCGTGTTTGAGATCTACTTTTATTACCTCCACGATTTCTACTATTCAATTAAATTACTTTTCCATGATACCAAAAAGTTACGCGCGGATTTATGAATTTCCAAAGTTGAAAATTTTTAATGGACAACGGGTTGCTGGTTATTTTGAAATCGCAATTTTCTGCCCTCGCCCTTCCTCCTTTTCTGTACGTTGATTTATGTTTTCAATCGACGCAACGTTCGAAACAAGAAATAGGAAGATTGCCGCATTGTTGTGTATCCGAACAATGCAAGCCTAATCAGACGAAAATAAATCCGAGGTCTACACCTAATCAAGTTACGGGGAACTTTACAAAAGGATCATTAAATTGCTTTTCCACTCTTCACCCCCGTCTCGCACCATGGCGCGCGCAACATACAGAAAGGTTACCGCATCAGGGACGAATTAATCTTTTTCAGCCGCAAGAAAGCGCCCAAAAAAAATTGAGACAAAAGTCGGCGGTTTATCACGCCCAAGAATAATAACGGTCCTGATGCGGTATCGATAGCAGCCCGAAGTAATTTTATAAGGCGAGCTGCCAGAGTTAGGACGGCGTAAAATATAATGATTGAGTTTCGTCCAGAAAAAAAAATCATTCACTCCCACTTAATTATTTCTTTCTACTCCCTTCTGTAAAATACCTTATTACACACCAATTTAGCATTCGGAATGTGCCATTTTACTACGTCAGTTTCGTTTCCCACGGATTCGAGACACTTCCGGGATATTACCGCACGGCTTGAATTTTGACGTTTGTCATTTCTGACGGTCATGTCAGTGAATGTATTCGTGTTGTTTTGCGAAAATGAACCAAAAACTAACAGTAGTAGAAAAAGTATAGTATGCAACACATTTGGTAAATTTTTTAAGTCACTCCTTTATTAAGCACCAGCGGAGCGTACCAAACAAACTCGTAATTCAAATGCCGTTTACCACACTTATTGCATAATATGCTATTCCAGGTCTGCGCCATACTTTATCACTAGTACCTGGAGATTTTACTCGAGTTTCTTCTGTGCACAAAATTCTCTTCTAGTCATCCGCAGGCCATTGTACATCATCTCTAGCTATTTTAATTTGGGTGATGTGTGATCTGCAGTAAATAGCGGTACTACTAGCAAATCCGACTTTTTTTAATCATCTCCTGACGGTTTAAAGCAGAAATCCAGACATTTCCAACAGTTTCGAGTTGATTATTACTAGTACATTTTCTTTTTGCATAATACATGCTGTCGAAGAAATCGTTAATTAATTACATGTAGCCTTTTTCCTGCTCTGTCCACGTTTTCTATGACTAAACTTTCTAGACATTCAACCAATTCTTAAATGATCACATATCGCATACTTGTTCCTTCTTCTAGCAACGTTTCTTTTTCTTAAGGAAGTTATTCAATTGTGACTTAGCGAACTTATCCTAACAACGAATACTGAAACAGCAATTTCAAATAACACTGGAAATTCCCTAAACATCTCGATGCATGTATTTTCTACTTGCATTCTAATTTCAATTACTGTAACAGAAGCATCGTTGATTATTTGATTAACTATTGTTACCCATTACTCGGAAAAATCCGATGTTCTTGAATAAACCTTAGCTTTCTCAAATTAAAATTAGCTATTTTGACAAGATAATTTTCACAAATTTGCAACCTTCTACCACGGAACATTAGGGTAAAAAAAACACTCGCTAAGTTGGTTTTCTCGTATACATTATACATTTGGTTGCTTTTAGAAATAATCTTTACTTTACTTTAGTTGCTCAGAATATATTTTTAATGGCCCAAGCGACAAAAGATTATGGTTTTAAAGTGACGCGGTGGTTTTACCTGTAATACCTAAGACCTGCGATGATTAATGAATTTCCATTTGCAGAGAACCTGAAAGGTGCACTACGCCATTTCTTTAATGCAAATAGCTTCTCGCTAATATACATTCTGTTTTCAATTCAGAGCATAGCATGTGGAGGTGACAAGCAAAATTCCGGAAGTCTACACAGTTTTCTATATCCAAGTCAGTTGACGAATTTGTTGCACTACATTGTAAATTTCAATTGAATAATCCATTAAAAAAAAACTTCGAATATATGGCTATGAGATAATGGTGGTGGTAGTAGTAGTAGTAGTAGCAAAGATTACATATATATCAAAATTCATTTCTCTGCATGGTGATGTTGTCATAATGGTATTGCTATGGAAGGAACCTTGTACCCAAAAAAAATCAAGTTATCAAAATTTCCTTTTAAACGAATAGGAATTTCAAAAATAGTTTATAAATTAAGAAACATCACATTTTGATATAAATAGACTTCGAATCAAAATTAATAACACACTAAAATTGGGTGACTTCAAAATTTAAGCGATATTAAAATAAATACATATGTTTATTTAAATTTAAGTTTTAGGCATGTAACGAAATCTTTTAAGTTTGACATTCTATGTTTGTCAAATTCTGTGGGAATTCCCGTCTGTCCAAGTTAAAATAGTCCCATTTTTACATAGCATTTTTTTTAACTTACTTTTTAAATGAAATACGGAATTAAATATCAAACGTAACAGTTACAATTTGTAAAAAAAAAATTAAAGAAAATCATAAACATTAAAAAAAATTAAAAGTAGGTGCCAAGTGTATCCTAACTTCATCCTTACAACCGATTGAACATCGACGAAACTGTAAACCAGACGTCCAATGTGTGTTTCATCGGTATTAGTCCATATTTCTCTGATAATGTTTCCGCCATCACCCAACAAGGCAGATGGGGGTTGATTATCTCTAAGCTAACCTACTTATTTGATCCCTTAAATGTTCTATTGGGTTAAGGTCTAGACTACGTCGACACCAATCCAAGGTGTCAATATTCAATAATTTTTCAATTCAATAAATTTGGGATAATCTAATACTGTTGACGGAAATTACCGCTAGCGTCAGGAGCACAATTTTGGTAGGAACCTAAATTCAAATTCAGATCCGACAGAAATTTTTTTCGCCGCCCTGATAGTAGTAATTTCGCATTTTATATATTGTTAGTTTTAAAAATATACAACTTTGATATTGATTGATTATTTACTGCAATATATGAGCTAAAATCTTTAAACACTTGGTATGTTATATACCTATTTCTAAGTTTGCAATTTCAGCGGCATCATCGGTACTAACTTAACTACCCAAACTAACCATCTCTCATTCTTTGTTCATTGGTTACTAAAAATACCAAGAGAGACTCTAAAGTAATTGAACATTTTTGCTTCATGTGCGTTTAGTATTTCAATCAAAATATAAAATGCTCCTACTTCATTGCTCTAGTCAGTGAATCCAAAATCTTCTTGCTAACGCTTTCTTTTTTTTTCGACTGTATTAAATACACAAATGCGATTTTTTTCGTACCTTTCAAATTTAAAAACGAGCGAATGTGTCGTAATGGCCATATGAAAATCTTTGTGTACCTGTGTTTCTGTAATTTCAGCTCGTTTCTACACCATCCGTGAATTCTCCGTCTGTTTTTTAAACATTCCCGAAATAATTATATACAGTGTGTCCCACTTTAGAACTGTATATCCTTGTGAGATCTTTTTTTGAATCGATTTTCATTTATTTTTTGTTGGATAGATCTCTGAAAAGTGCACTAAAACCTTGTTTTGCTCATTGCTTCAACTTAAAGTCATGGCCAGCTGGGCCTATTTAACAAAAGTGGTGTGGATGGTGTACATCGTTGTAAAATCTTTGATTATGCTTTGATTTTGATATCTTATTTTTTGTTGGATGGATCCCTCAAAAACGCAGTAAAACCTTATGTTTCTTTTTACATCAACCCTAAAATCATGGCCGACTGGGACTAATTTTTGATGTCAAATATCGAGAAGGGCTATTAGGGATTTCTTTAAGAATAAAGTATCAACGACTTCTTATTCAAAACCAGATAAAACCAGCAATACTAATTTTCATGAAGTTCACTTATTACTTCTGTAGAATGTTTGTTTATGGCTCAATTTTGATCATTCTCTTTTGCTGGATAGATCGAACTAAAGGGAAAGGAAACGGGTTTTTCGTATAGCATCGACTAAAGTCATGGCTAACTGACACAGTTTTTTAAAGCGGAAAATCGAGGAAGTACTTTTAGAGATTTTTTAAATTGAAAATGACAACAGATTTGTGTTCAGGACTACTAGACCAATGACCAGTTTTTTTTATATTTTAGGAAATAAATATTGTAGATCTTGTAAATAGCGATTATGTTGTATGTGATTTTAAGATATTAAAAATGTTAATTATACAGATTTCAAAAATAATGATACAAAGACTTTTTAAGGGACATTTATTTTTAAGTATAATCTGTAAATTCGAAAGATATAATGTAAATAAAATTAAAATAAAAATTAGCTAGAGAATTTGACTCTCGAATATTCGCTTCTCCATGGCACTGGGTTTTACAAAGGAAACAGTATGCCGACGTCAATCAATTTTGATATTTCTGTTATTTTCATTATTAGACGAGAATTAACAATCCTTTTTAATTAAAAAATACAGCATTGTATTAATAAGCAAAACAAGGTTTTAGTGCATTTTTCAGAGACCTAGCCAACAAAAAACAATCGACTCCAATATACTACACGAGTTTCCAGAGAAAGTGTTAATTTTTAATTTGTTTGATCCTTGTACCGTTTGCTATATTTTCCAAAAAACTTAACAAAACATATTGCAGGGTAATTTTTATATAAGAAATTGGACACCGAAATTGGCTCGCACTCCGAGGGCCATGCTAGGAGGTAAATTCAAGACTATCGCGCAATGGAGGAAAACACGCTCCAAGAAGGTGGTGTTTTGTATAGCTTTCGTAACCAGCGTCGTCGAGAATCTGCAAAATTACAGCAAAAATTACGTCGATTATTACTGATCTATACTTCGAACTACATGGATTTTTCAACGGCCAGATTAAGCTTCGTTCTTTGTGTGATTTCAGGAGCGGCAGTATGAAATAATTAATATATTAGAAGTTACATAAAATAATAAAGCCATTTCTTTTAACTATCTTATATTAGCGGTTTTTCGTTAAATTCGGTATAGTTGGCAACATTAGTGAATTTGGCATACCTTTTAAAACGAGTTTTATTTAACTGATGCAATTTATATACATTGATGCACTAATATCCTTTTTGTCTTTAATTTCTGTTACTTAGTATATACATACAATCAAAGTGAGTTGCTCTTGATTTGGATACGATAAGTAAAAAATAATCCAATCCGGTCCCAATGAACAAATAATTCAATTGAAAAAAAGATTGGATACATTCATGATTTTATCAAATTAAAATAAAAAATACTTAATATTGGAGAATGAAACAGAAAATGAATACAACAAATTAATATGCACAAAAAAAAACAAATTTGAAATTCATCTTTTTTTTGGTTCCACTACGAATGTCAAATGTAAAATTAAATCAATCTTCTAACAGAGATGTTTTTTAGATTCTTTTCAAAGGTGACAAAGAGAAAATTTCCTTTTGCTTGTCCTTGATACAATTACACACTGTAGTTTCCGTTCACCACGGATCACGACGTTTAAAGCAAAAAAAAATTAAGTAAATCTTTTGATGCGTTATCAAATTGCTCTGGACTGGCTCAAAGGGACACATCTACCACTTCATAGGAAGCCAAAACAATTGTGTGCACCTAAAACCAATATCCCTATATTTCAATATAATGACAATGACAATCAAAACCAATCAGAGCAAATAGATTCATAATAACTGGTTAATAGTGCCACATTCCAAACTTGAAGACCATAGATTTGGATTAAACATAGTTCCTTTCATTTTTTCAAACTACTTAAGCCATTTACTGCTTTTCTTAGAAAATTAAGCATTCTCTTGGTTGCTTAACTAGACGATATTCTGATTATGGACTTAAACAAATCTCAATGGCAAAAAAAAGTTTAAAGTTCAAAATGCATCTACAAAATATTATCATATCTATACACTGAATGCACCAAATTAGACATAACAGAAGAAACCGATGAAAAGTTGTTCGGAAAATATTTCCATAACATTTAAGCACTAAAGAAGGCAAGCATAAACCGGGAAAAAAAACTTTAAATTAGAAGCGATTTTAATAGTCAAACAAAATAAATTGTGTGGTCGCCGGAGTTATGTACAATGATTTCTACGTAATAAGGATAGGACACCGTGAGATCTACGATGTCAGCTTTTCGGAAACGAACCTATAAAGTCTTAGTTTTACGTAATATGATTATTCTTGTTGTAACTGCTGCTACAGAAACTCTTAATTTTCGATTGTATTTTGAAAATAAAGTTTTTAAAAAGTCATCTCGTCTTCGCTTGAACATAATTGGCGCAGTCGGTAGGATTGTGCCCTCGGAATTCGGAAAACGGAAAAGCAGAGACAATTCGTGTGTGTGCGTCGCATCGTGCGGAAAAGTGACACTTGCCGAATTAGGCTACCCGTAGGAGTGGTTTCAACCGCTACAGCGCAATCCAAAGAACTTGTTGGCGAACCCAGAGAAGACTCTCGTAGGCAGTATGCAACAAAGGATCAGGGAACGGAAAACTGTAAGTGCGATTTTTTGTTTTCGCCCCTTTAAGATCCTCCTTTAAGGCGTTTAATAGGGATAATTTTAGGCAAGACGTATCGGACGTCAAGTAGTTAGGGAAACAAATTTTTTAATCGATCAATTTTTGTGTTAAATTGTGAATCAGAAACAAGCTGCGAATATTTCAAAGCATTAAGTAGTGACGTAGAAAAATATCAAAAAAAATGACAGACCAAGTAAATTGCAATTTATTTAAATCAAAATTGCAAAACATTCAACCCTACGAAGGTGATAGCAATACCTTAAATAAGTTTATCAACAGATGCGAAAGCTTAATTAATGGTTGCGCTTCCCTTGCAAATTCGGAATTAAATAAACATATTTTTGAATGTATCTAGGAAAAACTGGTAGGCAGAGAAGCAGTTCTAGTAGGTAATCGCACAGAAATTAGTGATTGGAAAAGATGCATTGACTCAATGTTTTTCCAATCGCCGAGATCTGAATTGTTTAATCCAAGAGTTAGTTAGGACTAGGCCCGATAAAAACGAACACTTGATAAATTTTGGAAGTAGACTTCAATTATTAAGGAGCGACATTGCACAGCGAATAAGTAACGAGTCTAAATATATACCGGAAGAAAAGCTTTCATATATTAAACATTATCATCAAACCGCCCTAAATATATTGATCGCAGGGTGCACAGGCGTCTTAAAAAACAATATGCATTTAAAAACACCGCAAAGTCTCGAAGACGCCATGGCATATGTAAATGAATTCGAAAATTTTGAAAGATTGTATTGTATTGTATTGAACGAGCCTTATAAATCTCAAAAACCGAACTTCCTAAATTTAAACTGTACACCGACAAATCAACATCTTCAAAAGTTTTGTCAAAGACCGTTTAGCAATAATGCGTTTGTACCACCCAATCTCGCTCAATTTCCAAATCAGCAATTTAGTAACCCCGCACAATTTGGTAACTTAACGCGATTCGGTCAACAACCTTTTAATCAAAATTGCTTTAAGCCCCCACAAAAAATGTTTCCAACTGGCCCAGTTGACGTAAGGCCCAGACAACTACCCCCTCAAAAACACTTTACCAACAGTCAAGTTTTCGGTAAACCAAAAAATGTACCTGCCCTATGTCGACAACGTCTAGGACACCTTCCATAAGACGAGACCAATATCGAAACCAAAACGACTATTTCCGATCGAACCCAAACACGCGAAATAACTTTGTCTTTGAAGAATTACATTCAAATGACGTGACGAACTTCGACAACCAAGACTCTGAGGATAACTTAGATTATTTTGACCCGCGTTTTGAAAATAATTTTCCTCAAGAATATTTTGAGACAATCGATAAATCAATACAATGTCAATTAGAAAATCAAAGCAATCAACGCTTAGACGTATCCCAAAATTTTTGCGAAACCAGCCAACAAGAAACCCCAACTTATTTGAAATAAACGTATTTTCGTATAACCCCCTTCCTTACTTGCAAATTAACTCTTTAAATATTAAATTATTAATAGACACTGGTAGTAATAGATCAGTATTAAAACCTATTATTGCTGAACAATATTTTTCGAATTGTATTTATAATGAACAAAATACTATAAAAACAGCCGTATGCAGCCAAAACACTCAATTTGAAGCTACTATAGCTCTACTTACAGAGTTTGGTATCGATTACGAAATCGATTTTATCCTTTTCGATTTTCACGACTTTTTCGATGGCGTTGTTGTTTTAAGTTCCGCGAACCCACATTTTCGATGAACTCTCATGAGAAAATTATTAAGAATTTGCCAGTTAGCGTTTTTGACGGCGATACTTTAGTACCACCTACTGAAATAAATAACTTGTTTATTCCTAGAACACTATCCCACGCGACAAAACGGATTCGCACCCGTTGAAATATAAAACCACAGCGATAAAACCATTAACACGACCTTGTTGCAACCAATTCCCATACAATCGTTTATACAGGAAGCATTCGAAATATATTCTTTGAAAACCATAAAAAAATTCGATAAAAATAAATATTTTCAAAATTCTCCCTCAAAAATCGATATAACCAAATTAATACGGCTATCCCACATGAACTCAGAAGAGCAGCAATCAATCACTAAATTATGAAACGAATTTAAAGACATTTTTTATAAACCAGGCGACGCGCTAACATTTACATCCAAAATTCGACACGAGATAAAAACCACTGACGAAGTTCCGGTACACACAAAGTCATATCGTTACCCGTATGCCCATAAAGAGGAAGTAAGGAAACAAATAAATGAAATGTTAGGGAAAGGTATAATCCGTCCTTCAACGAGCCCTTGGAGCTCTCCCGTTTGGATCCTTCCAAAAAAAATCGATGCCCCAAACGTACAAAAGTGGCGCGTAGTAATAGATTATCGTAAATTAAACCTTAAAACAATCAACGATCGATATCCCATTCCAAACATTTCTGATATACTAGATAAGTTAGGACGATCACAATACTTTTCGGCTTAGACCTAGTCAGCGGTTTTCACCAGATCGAGATAGCACAAAATTCGATAGAAAAAACAGCGTTTTTCGTGGAAAACGGACATTATGAATATCTACGAATGCCATTTGGATTGAAAAATGCGCCGAGTACTTTTCAACGCGTTATGGACGAGGTCCTTAAAGATATTCAGAATAAAATTTGTATGGTCTATATGGACGACATAATTATTTTTAGTACAGGCTTGCAGGAAGACATTCAAAATTTGGGCCTTGTATTTTTGAAATTACGCGATGCAAAATTAAAAATTCAACTGGACAAATGCGAGTTCCTAAGAAAGGAAATCGAATTTTTAGGGCAGGTAGTGACGCCAGAAGGCATCAAACCAAACCCGAAAAAGATCGAGGCCATTCAAAAATTCGCGATACCCCGTACACAAAAAGAAATTAAACAATTTTTAGGCTTGCTCGGATATTATAGGAAATTTATACAAAATTTTGCGAAGATCACCAAACCATTAACTCAATGCCTAAAGAAAAACCAGAAAGTAATACACTCTAAAGAATTTGTGGATTGTTTCCAACATTGTAAAAATATACTAACATCAGAACCAGTACTTGGGTACCCCGATTTTACCAAACCTTTCGAATGAACTGATGCATCAAATTATGCTATGGGAGCAATATTATCGCAAAATGGTCACCCAATTAGTTATGCATCCAAAACGTTAAACCCCGCTTAAATAAACTATTCGACCATCGAGAAGGAACTGCTAGCAATTGTATTTGGTTGTAAATACTTTAGACCATATTTGTTTGGACAAAAGTTCTCTGTCCTGACGGACCATAAACCCTTAATCTGGCTTTCAAGTTTAAAAGAACCAAATATTCGCTTAATTCGCTGGCGCCTCAAACTCGAAGAGTTTGATTGTATTTTAAAATATCAAAAAGGAAAGAAAAACCA